AAGTATCAGGGTTTATAAGCCTTAACCCATCAAAAACCACTTCTTGTAAGGTCCGCATAACTCATATTTGGGTTCAGACTCTTAGACGATGGCCCAACGATAGACGTAGGTCATGGATTCAAGATAGGTTTGGGGTTTAGGGTTTGAAGGCTTGCACTTAGGGCTTCAAAGTCAGGGCTTTGGGGCCCAGCCACGTGGAAGAACACGGCGAAACGCCTTTCATGGAATCTTGGAATGCCTGCCTCGGTCAGTCTTCACACATTGTGTCCGCCCTGTTGAACCCCAAAATAGCTCATCACTCGAAGCCGTAAACTGTTACCAACTGCCCTTGGCAAAATGAACATTACTTAAGCCGTTAAGCCCCGAACCCTAAATCCCATAGAGATCCCTCCCAAAGGAGCCCTTAACGGAACCCGAAACGCAACCCAAAAAGCGTAGAACCTGTTGATGCAAAGAGGCTTGCGGCAGCCGCACAGGCAGCTGCTTCCTGGTTTTGCACCGACACCTTCCGGGTCTTTTGGAGTTGGGGATACCGAGGTTCTAGAGCTTTGTGGGAATAATTATGGGGTTTAGGGCTTAGGGCTTTTGGGGAATATGGGTTTTGAGGTTTCGGGCTTTTGGGGTTTTGGGGGTTTGGGAGTGCAGGGGCTGCAGAATCTCAGCTTTGGGAATACTGGGCTCAAAAGTCCGACAAGATCCCTAAACCCTAAACCCAAAACCGTGTAAGAACCTTGTACAGGGCTCTACAGGCGGATGAATGATGCTGTAGCACATGTTCTACAAGAGATTGGGGTAGCCGGAATAGCCGGTTAAGAAATGCGAAACTGTGGGTTTTTAATGGTTTGGGAACGAGGATGTGGAGTTGACTGTTACGGTGTAAGCTTCGTGGGCAAGCTAAGTGTTTAGGGCCATCTTATAGGGTGCTTTCGCTGGCTTCAGGGGACTAGTCACGGTTTAGGGTCTTAGGCTTTAGGGTTTAAGACTTTTTAAGAGTTCACGGCTTTGGGGTTATGTGGGGTTGGGCTTAGTTAAGGGCGCCGAGGGCAAGAACCACGAAGTGAGATCTGAGGCAGTGGCGACGTCCATCAGAACGCCTGGGTTGCCGAGGAATCACAGGTCTTCAGTCGCGGACTTCGGAAGGATGAGTCCCTTTTTGGGCATCCTTTAGAAGCTGCCCTCACCCTGTAATAGTGACTATAAGGATATATATTGGGGGGGCCCTATTGTATTCCCATTATACCACTATTACAGGGTGGGGGCCCCTTCTAAGGCATCCTTCAGTAGACCCTCAGAGTCCACGTACCCAAATGGTATATACTTTGGCCTTAAAGTAATGTAATCCCAATAAAGGTACTTTGGGGCCAATGTCCATACTATTTATGTACATGGACCCTGAGGGAAAGGTTCCAGTTTCTAGGGTTTGTATGGGGGTCCTCTAGTTGTGGAGATTGCCAGATCACCCCAAAATATTGCCACAGTGCTCTTGTCTTATAAGTCCATGAGCATAAGAACCATAATGTTCATGCCAGCCATAGTCTTGATACTCCTGGCCCGAAAAACTACCATAATGACAACCGTGGTAATACAAGCAGTCTCAATAACCACCATCATAGTCATGATGCAAATATAGTCATGATAATGGTAGTAGCAATAATGAGAAGAAGGCCAACGACAGCCTTACACTTGTACCCCCCCATGCTTGTGTGCGACAAAGCCACAGCGCCAGTTGATGTAGGGGCTCCCGTCGATTCCACCTCGAGCTTTGCAGCCTCTTCCCAAGTCTCTGTGCCCTCGGATACTGCACTTGAGGCTTATCTGAGACGGCAGAAAATCAGGTCGTCAACAATACAAGCATTATTGTGTATTCCATATTCTGTGTAATATATGTAAGTACAAACTTGTATATGAATACATAAGAATGTAACTATAAGTGTGTGTATGTATAATATACATATATACATATGTATATATACGTGTGTACCTGTAGTTTGTGTGTGTAGGGATACACCGATAAGAAGGAAGCATGAACAGAACCCTCCAGCTTCCGACGATGGGCGGCCCTAAGCCGTAAAACCTAAACCCAAATCCCGAAACCCAAGCCCCAAACCCTAAACCCAAACCCTAACCCCAAAACCCGAAACCCTAAATCCAAACCCTTAACCCCTAGGGCGGTAGTGGGTCTCAGGCTCGTCGTCGCAGTGACAGAGAAGGGACACTGGTCGGAGATCTCCTCCGGGGCCTGGGAAGCTCACTGACACACTGACTGATTCTCTCTCTCTCTTGTTCCTTGTTTATCGTTGTCTCTTGTCTTCGCTTTCTCTGCTTCTATTTGCTTATCTTGTTTTTTTTCTCTTTAACTTTCTGTTTCTCCTTCCTTCTCTTTCTCTCTGTCTCTGTCTACCACAGGTAATATAAATACTCTACGAATTACTCTGGTGCCCTGCTAGTCTTTCCTTCGTTCTCCTGTTGTTTGGAGTGGACAAGAGAGCGAGAGAGATTTACACACATTTAGACCTGCGGTCCAAGAAGGTGGCGGCATCGCCCACAGATAGCACTACGTGCCGCCACCCCGAAACCCCGGTGTCTCACGCAGACTCTATGATGCTGAGCTGTCCTTTAAGCCCTTTGAAAATTAGTTACCATTATGGTTCCCTACAAAAATAGTAGGGGAAATTAAAACGATCCCAAAGGACAACCCAGGATGTGACACCTGGCCCAGACTACAACATCTACGAGGGGCGACCAATAAATGCGATGGCCGAAGTATCCAAGCCCTCAGTTCACATGAGGGCATACCTGAGCACTCTGAAGGTAAATCTCTGAGCCCTAAACTCCTTTCCCAAAACAAAGTGAGCCAGAAACGTGGCTGTTTCTTGGAGACTCCTTGAATGTAGCCAATCCCAAGAGGGAACCAATTAAAACAGTCCACTCCGCAAGAGCCGTATGCCAAACCCGGAGCGAGCTCAACCCTAAACCCTGAACCCTATAAACCCTGGCCTCTGAGCTCTAAACCCTGAGACCTAAGACCCCATCCCCCTACTCTGAGATGGCCCTAATATTGTACCCTAAATAATAAGATCCGTATTTTGAGGAACCCAAAATAAGGCACCCCTATTCCCCTAAACAGAAGAGATCCGCGCCTGCAGGCTTATGGCAACTGGCTCGGGCCTTCCCAGAGACTCCAATATCCCTCAATTAAGGAATATTCCCTTTAGAGGTTCCTTGAAGGGTGCCTTACAGGCATTGCGGAATGTACCGTAAATGGCATTATGGATCCTACTATAATCTGAGGCATCTTCCTTCAATTAAAGTACACTGGAGTCTCTGGGCAAGGAGCAAAGTCACAGCTTGCATAGATGCCATAACAGACCGCACGGTTCCGGCTACGAATAGGGTTTAGGGGGTTTAGAGTTTAGGGGTTTAGGCGTTTAGAGTTTAAAGGTTAGGGGTTTATTTAGAGTTTAGGGGCTAGGGGTTTAGGGGGTTCCGGGTTTGGGCTCCGCTTACATAAATACAGAAAAAACTGGGGTATATGATAATTATTTGGCTCGTAACGAACTATTTAGGCAACTGGAGCCCTAGGCAATGATGCCATAAGGCTACGATGCTCTAATACTCTAAATGCACGGCTGAGCATCCAGAGTCTATGTTGAGATTTTTGGGCCAACCCTATAGTCGAGCTCTAATAGGGTAGAGAACATTAATGCTGGTAGGGTTTAGCCTACCTGTAGTCTCCATGGTGGTTCCTTTTTGGGGTTAGCTTTCGGGCCCATACACGTAAAGTTGATTTAACCGGAAGGGGGAACTACAATGGAGACTATAGTTATTCTCAATACTTACCCTACTACGCTGATACCCTGATACTCTACTGTGATACTCTAATTTCTCATGCTCGGGACTCTAATACGATCAGGCTACAGGGCTATGATCTTATGATAATGGGAGTAATTTATACGACAGTGCCCTAAACCCCATCAGCATCTATAAGCCTCAATTTCGCGGCTCTGAATTCAGACTTCGAGGGTTTAGGAGTGTGAAGCATTGGAGGTTTGGCACGAGTGGCAACTCAGACTTGCCAGTCTACTGCAGCTACTTGGCCCAGGTATCACCTTCGGTTGTTTGGGGGTAGAACAGCAGCAAGATTGACATATGTAGTCACGCGGTTACAAATCAAGAGGTCTGCGATATCGCCTCACTACCACCAGGAACGGCATGAACACCGGCTTCGCAGCGTCGCTGATGTGCGCCACACCTAGGCGGCATGGACTGTGAGCTCATACTGTCTGCATAGTTGGTGCTTCTCCCTGTCCCCCTGGAACCCACTTGCAACGTTATTGAAGTAGTGCTGCTTCGTATGTATGAAACTAGGCTTTCTCGCGAACATGCTTGCCCGTGCAAGAGCAACAACCGGCGAGGGACTTGTCATCATGCAATCACCCAAAACAAACAAGCACCATGCAGACACGACTGTCGTGCTTGTGTGATCCCGGAAGCTCTCGCCATGAACGATGCGCAGCTTTTCTTTGCATATGACATGCATCGGCGGCTTGTCTTGCCATGGCAACATCCATACCTCAACCATCTGCCACACCATTCGATAAGACAGGCCACTTGCCGCCGCACAGGTGGCTCAAACTCGAAGTCATAATAATAGTAATAATTATAGTAATAATAATAATAACAATAGTAATACTAATAATAATAAAAATAATAATAATAATAATAATAATAAAAATGATAATCATAATAAAAATAAGAATAATAATAATAATAATAATAATAATAATAATAATAATAATAGTAGTAATATAATAATAATAATAATAATAATAATAATAATAATAATAATAGTAGTAATAAAATAATAATAATAGTAATAATAATAATAATAATAATAATGGTTATAAGTTATAATAGTAGTAATAATAATGGTTATAGTAAGAGTAACAATAACAGTAATAATAATAGTAATAAAAATAGCAACTACGAGGCTGCTCCTTTCATCCTGTAGCATCCAACACGGTCCAACTACTGTGGCATCCACTCTCCTTACGCTGTCGCTCGTCTCTTAAGCGCTCTTCGCGAAGTCGCTCTGCTTCATGCCGAGAATGATCTGCCCGCGCTTGCGCAGTGGAGTACTCTGCGTGTTTTGAATAAGCGTAGCCCGCAACACAGAACACGGCAGTGCGTGCAACATGTGGCGCTGCTGCCGCTGCAACACCAAGGCCAGCCGCAGCTATGCCAGTATAGCAGGCAAACTGCTTTACACGCTCCCATCCTTCGCCAGACCTCTGCGCCTGTTCCAACTCCCTGTCGCGACGCAGCTGCTCCAACAGCTTATGATATTCCTTGAGCTCATGGACTTTTTTCTCGAAATCCCCCGGAGATACAAGCCCTTGCAGGCAACGGCTCTTCCACGCTTCGAGATCCGCGTCGGTCTGTCGCCATTCAGCTTCGATCTGAGCATCTAGCACGGCCGCGCGCGCTCGTGCGAACGCCACAAGTTCATACTTCTTCCCGGTGTCCGTAGAAACTTGTCCGAGCAGCTGATGGATGAAGTCAACATCTGCCTTCAACTTCTCATGGTTCCGAGGCATGTTGTCAATCTTGGCGACTCGGTTGTTTGACTTCTGGATCACCTTGTTCAGGACATGGTCGTCCCCAAGCCTCGTCAGGTCCGACTTCAGCTTGTCCAAGTCGCAGGTGCAGTGCGTAAAGACAATTACAGCATGGGCCCAGACGTCCTGGCCAAACAGCACTTCTATCTGCGATATCGCAGCCAACGCCTCATCGGTCATGCAGCGGATGACGAAGGCCAGCGAATCCAGGCCCTTCCGTGATAAAGCTGCTAGCTCAGGCAAGGTGAGCTTCGGGTCAACAGCTCCAGGCAGGTCGAAACATAGAAACGTCTGTCCAGTCACGGCAGCGTACTCCAGAGAGCCTTGACAAATTGCACAATAATGCACAATATAGAGGCCTTTGCAATTAGAATAGGGTTTTGGAGCATATTCTACTCTAAGATAAATAAGGAACCCACCAAAATAGTGCAAAGGGTTTTGGGGGCGGCTTACTTGCTGTAGTACTATGGTAGTAAAACCGAAAAGAAGCCCAAAGCCTCGGTAAGCATAGTATATCATATGGGAGTTTCCAAAAATAGGGGACCCTAATATGGTACCTTAAATAGTAGTATCCTTATTATAAGGGTTCCAAAATAAGGAAACCAAATTTTCGGAAACTCCCATATTATAGTACACTATGTTGCTTTATAGTGCACTACAGTATGTTACAATGTATATGAGGGTATATCACGTTTTATACAGCATATAGTAGAGTATGGTGGAGTATCGTACAGTACAGTATATTATAGTAGATATTAACGTAGAGTATATACTAATTTTTCTTCAAAGAGCTGACACTGCTTGTGACCGACTCAAGACTGTCATCGGCCAGAAAATGCTCTGACACTGACAGCGAGTTGGCTGTTGAGCTCTTACCGTGCCCTGCTTTGCCCACCAGAGCGTAGACCAAGGACGACATCAGAGCTTGGATTTCAAACTCGGTCTACATCTTCTGTCATTTGAGCAATAACTGTCGGATGCACACGTGTGCATGGTCCAGACCTCCTACCATCGTCGAAAGACAAGTTCGGCAGGCAGCGAGACCTGAAGCAAGTCACTACAACTTGGTAGTCACATGCAGCTGCACACGTTGCCTTTCTTTGCCACACCCTGGGGCTCCAGTTACCTGCATAGTAGGTTACTAACCATATACTATGTACCCCATTAACTTACTATGTATTTAACTGGAGCCCTCGGACACACAAGGAAGAGTGGTTGTGCGATGTGGGAATGAAATCTAGGCAAGTGACAGCCTCAACTAGAAGATGCATATTATCATATATCTACATATACATACACACATGCATACATGTATACATACATACAACATTGCCGTATGTCTTCTGCTATACTAGACTTTTGCACTACGATGCTATGTACCGTGTTATGTACTATGCTTTAGGCACAAGTGCAGATGTCGTGCTATGGGTAATCTCTTCTCATTTTTCAATTTTGAGAACGGCTCTGCACAAGAATACGATCACCCCATTAAGTTACAGGCCCCGCCAGTATGATCCGTCAGCGCGAAAGACTCCGCAGAGTACCCTGAAGCACAGGATGTGCGACCCCTTCCTCTGTCCGCTGTCTTCGCAGGTGGCAACTTCCGTGCAATCGCTCATAGCAAGCAGGGTGCCATACATGTAGCCATGCTCCCGTTCTCGGCCCTATAAACCCCTAAAAGGTCCCAAGTACCCGTCCGGTAGACTGTACGGTTTCTACAGCAGGAAATAGTACTTTGGTTGCGGTATCCCCCATAATATAGGTGATTAGGACCCTTTGGGCCCCTAATCCCTTAAGAAAGTTAGAGTATACCTTGCCCCTTTTGGGTAATAATGCCACCGCCAACCCATTAGATTATCATTCCTAGGGTCCCCCCTACACATCACCCACATATCACTACTACTTCCCCCATTAGATGATCATTCCTACACTCCCCCCTACACTTCACCGATATATCGCGACTACTACCCCATTATCAATACAATTCTAGGAATAACCATTACCCCATCTATTATCTCTAAGGTGGCATTCTTGGTCAAAATAGGCAAGGGGGTTCTCGTAGGATTTGGTTCAGGGTTTAGGGTTAAGGGTTGTAACTACACTGTAATTATAATATATAACTGCTTATGTATTATAATTACACTATAACTATGTTGGCTAGGTTGTTTAATCCATTTAGACAAACTCAGGTTTATTCATAAGAGTTCCAACAATTTTATTAAAGTCCCTAATAAATACATCTGGATTAAAACCGAAATCGTTTATCTTACTACGAATATCAATATTTTTAATATCCATCCAGTCCTCATATATCCATTTGAACACTGTATATCTTTTTGTTGACAATTTCTTGAACAGACTATTTTTAACCCTGTCATAACTGGGAAAGTCATGTTTAGTTGAGAAAATAAGTCTATCTACATTATATATGTGTAGTAAATTACGTCTGATAATTCCCTCTATCCTCTCCTTCTTGAACTGGCGTTTTTGACAACTACGGCAACAATAAGCAAAGCCGTAAATATTATTAATAATATTTTCTGGTAGTGACAATTCATACAGAGTGGAATAACGTTCGTGTTTCTTACAATCTTTACATTTACAATTCCGTCGCTCTTCCTGGAGTTCCCTGAAGTAATCGTGAACCTTGACAATATCCAAGAAGTTATTTGTTATTTCATCCTGTTCGTTTTGATTGAACATTTCCCTGTTAATATATGTAGGTGTTATTTCTTTAAGTCATTTTCCTCAGAAATATTACTTTCTTAAGATTTACTGCATCGCGGTTTATTTGACAGATTTATCCAAGCATTCAGAACAAGTCGCAATGTATTTAACATAACAATAAGAATGCTTACCAGCATAATAGCAACGCTTGAAACAATCAATGTTTTTGTCTTGCTTACAACGATAACACTTCCTAGTAACAACATTATTTGTTTCAGTATATGGATCAAAATCAACTGATATCTTATTTACTTTTATTGTCATTATATTAATAATATACACATTTTCATAATGTGAGATTATGAAAATTTGCATTCCCTTAAGATTTAATGAAACTAATTACGAATTCTTATCATTTCCACACTCTTACGGTGCGCTTATGATTCTGTTCATCACACGGGAGCAATGGGACCTTCTAGATGTCTGGGCAGGGGAAACTTTACACTGTCAAGTTACCATAGAAAATATTTTTTAAATCTTAATCCATCATATTTAATTATTCTTTAAAATAGTTACATCTTTGTCTATCCTTTCAACATCCTCCTCCACTTTTTCTAACCTCTCTTCTGGGGTGGGTTTTCTTGATCCCCATCCGTTGGTAACCGTATCAACACCTTCATTATCTTGTGAGTTTGTTTTAAAGATGTCGTTTTCATCGGGGGTTATTCCTCTTCCCATTTTCCAACTGCTTCTATCTTCAATTATTGTTTTACCTTCGTTGTTTATCTTAGTTTCTTTGTGAAAAGTCTTTCTTCTGCATTTGCAGGGCAAACAATTCAAACCATCTGTGTTTAAGTGGAAGCCACCTTCGTTTGATTTATTATCGCTCATTAACCTTTCTTAGATTTTTTTAAATACTCAAGAACTGCCTTAAGCAATTCTAAAGAAGCGGTGCAACACCTTTTAAGCTTGGTGTCTTGAATTACAACCTTTTCAATTTCTTCAATCTCCTCTATCGTTTCTAAATACTTCTCCATTATATTAAAAGATATTTTTCTCTTATTAATTAATGAGTGAAGACATACCTAAAGTAGAACCAATAGACATACCCGAATATAAATATAAAACAGCAAGTTTGACATGATGCCGAAGCTACCCGCGCGGATGTTGTGCGTGGCTTCTTCAACAGGCGGTAAAACAGTATTGATACAGAACTTGATATTAAAGATTTACAGAGGATCCTTTGAGAGAATATACATCTTCTCGCCCAGTGTTCATGTTGATGACACTTGGTCGGCAGTAAAGAAATACATAAGGGATGTGATGAAGGTGGATGCCGAAAAAGAACAGTTATACCATGAGGAATACGATCCGGTGGCGCTAAAGAAGATCATAGACACCCAACATAAAGTAATAGATTTTCAGAAGAAGAATAAACAAAAGGACCTGTTTAGCATTCTGTTAGTGGTGGACGATTTCGCCGACGATCCCAAATTTGTAAGATACTCAAGTTTGTTACATGGATTATTTACTAGGGGTCGCCATAATGCCATCTCGTGCATTTTATCCACTCAGAAGTACAATGTATTGGCCCCTATCATTAGGTTAAATGCCAGTGCTTTGTTCATCTTCAGACTAAAGAATATGAACGAAGTCAACGCATTTTTGGAAGAGAATTCCGCCTTGGTGGATAAAAGCACGTTATACGAAATGTATCAGAAAGCCGTGAATTTTGCTCCTTACTCGTTCTTCTACATAAACACCAACGCTAAAGATGTTAGTAATATGTTCTTCATTAACTTTGAACAGCGCTTTGAAATAGGTGATTAATAATATTATTTCTAGATAATATTATTAATTAAATCAACGAGTAACTGCACAAGTTTATAGCAGGTAGTTTATAATATATTTTATCGCTTTTTGTTTCTTCTAACTTTTCAACTCTTTCAATAACATCTTTCAAAGTATTAAATAACAACATATCTGTTCTTGTTTTTTCATTAATGTCTAACTCTTTTATTTGATTCATGTTTTCAGTAGCAGAAGATTTGGAAGATGTAGAACCCATATAATGAAATTTAGATAAATATTTTTAATCGCTATCGTGTTTCATCTTCTTTTTCAACTTTGTTAATTCGCCTTTCAAAGACGTTATTTCTTTTTGCATTTCTTGCACAGCTCCCACAAGATAACTGTCATTTTATTGTATGCTAATAGTTTCATACCATCATCATTATAAAAGATTATGTTATCCCATTCAGGGGGCAGTTTAGCATTTTTCACATCGTCGGCTATGAATCCTAGGTTACTCTTTTTATCTTCGTCCTTGACAAAATTAAATGTTTTCGGTTTAATGTATTTAACTACACTATAACAATCCTTGATATTCACTTCTTTAATATTCTCTTTTGATTTAAATTCCGATGTTTCAATCAAGGCGGTGCAGGTTAGAGTTCCTCCAATATCTGCGTTATTTGTTGTAGTAAAGAAACCGTAAACATCAACGCCTGTATTTGTAGCATCCAATCTTGATAAATTGTTATTGCTTAATCTAATAAATCCATCAGTATCTGGGTTATTTATTAATACTCTTTGTTGACCTGACACATCAACATGTGTTATCTCTAAATTACCTAATATATTTACTTTTCCATCGGTTAATTGAATTTCTGGCGTTGATGATTCTAATCCCATTGTTAAATTCATTTCTCCCGCCGTGTCTCCATTTCTGATATATAACTTATATTGAGTGTCTAAAACTTCTTTTAATTCGCTACTATTTTGAAACATAAACCTACCCCAACTAATAACATCACTTTCACCAACAATATTACCAATACTATTAAAGGTTAAATTTTTGGTAACTGCTCTGTTTAATGTAATACCGTTAGTGTCATTTAATTGTAAAGCAATAGTCCCAGTAGTAGGATCACTTGTTCTATCGTTTTGGAGACTAATATTAATTTCCTCTGTTGATATAATATTTAATGAATTATTAGCATCTGCCCTTTGAAATATTCTTCCATCAGTGCTTAATAACTGTTGCCCTAAAAATGTTGCATCACTCTCAACGCGTGTTTCATTAAAATTTGATATACCTCCTACTGTTAAATGATATGAAAAATTATATTGTCTCCCTATTCCTACCGTTGCTGTTGTTTGTGATCCGATACGTAATCTATAATCGCCCCCTGTGTCGTGTAAAATCATTTCCGTTCCATTTGCTGGGTTGCTCGGGTTCATACATCTAAA